ACCCTCTAGGTATTCACAGTTTAGTAACTAAATAAAAAATCTTAATTCTTAAAGGGCACAGAGAGACTTGACAAAAAAGCTATTATGTCATAAATTCTGAAATACCTGCCTTCCTGAATCATATATAAAATCTAAAAGACTGCATTCGTTTGAAATGAGGACAGAAGTTGAAATTCTTCTAAGAAATATCTTAATAAGAGAAGCTGACAACATGGAGCGTAATAACAAACTTCCAGCATGTCCTGATGGGTTTGACATAAGTAATTTTAGCAGCTATCATGTGGCTGGTATAACTATGCTAAACATTTTCAAATCTTAATTGGTTTATATTGAGATACATGGTTTAAAATTTTTAAATGGCAAGTCTCTACTTTGTAAATATCATTAAATGGGAAAAATCAACAATATTGATAGCATTTTAAAGTAACATGAAAGTATTTGCAATACTGATGGGAAATGGTAAATATTGACACTGTAAGAGAAAAATAAGTGCACTTGGATTCTGTTATTAAACTCTTTTTCTATACTTATGATTCCATATTATGTGTTTACACCTTGATGATTACAGTTTTCCATATTGCTGTCAAGAAATTGCATCATTTAGATTTACCCAGAAAATGTAAAAAAAAAAAAACATATTTGACAATGGTATTAAGATTTTGTTTAGCAAAGCTTTGATTCATCAATGCTTTTTCCATTTTTCAGAATCTACAGTCCCTCAGAACAGTGTGTATTGTGAGAGTGGATTCATTATAAATAGATATTTTAACTAATAATTTCTAGAGAGATGATGGATGGAATGATAAAGAGATAGAGATATAGATCTGAGCCAGTCAGGGTGGGTTAGGTCAGGTAGAGTGACACTAGACACAGTTAGTAACTGGAAGAATTCCCAAACTGGTTCTCCAACTAATGGAGCAGGGTCAAATATAGTAGTAGGAACTATGTGGATACCCTATACTCTAGGAACCATGTTTGCCACCCCCTTAATTAAATAAAAGCAAGTTTAAATCCTCGAGTTGCTGGTGGGGTGGGGGTAGTGGGGAAATGCAGAGATTAGTGCCATGATTGAAGAATTAAGAAATGTGAGATTCAGGATTTTCACCACATCCCCATTTAGTTAGCTTGCTTGTTTGGCTGGTTTGGCCAGATGGATTATGAACAATGACAGTAAATTAATGCAACATAGTCAGGTAATGATGTCAAGCATATCTGGTGTTACAGGTATTGTACCTTTACTGGAACAAATCAGTAAATCCACAATCCCTGGCACCTGGTAGGCAGCTATTAACCTAGAAAATGCTCCCCCATCCCATCTCAATCAGCAAGGACAATCGAAAACATCTGCCTTGAGTGGCAGAAACACTGCTACATTTTTACTTGCTCCAAGGGCTATGCCAATATTCCTTTCTCTCTATCATAATATTGTCTGGAGGTTTCTTGATAAGCAGAATACTGTGCTAGCCTCTGCATTTATAAAATGCTTCTCAAACACCTACTTTGAGAGTACTATTTGTTTCCTGCTTGGACTCTAATATAAATATTATACTTTCTGCAGTGTTTGAACAACCAAGTAACAATGCAAGAAGATGATGACAAAAGTTTAGGAAGATATATTTAAATAAGTTGTTTAAACTAATATATTCCACTTACCGAAAGAGTCTGAAAGAACCACATCCTTTTCAAGCAGAGATACTGGAGAAGGCTGGTTGAACGCTAAACGGTGAAAGCTGACTGAAGCATCACAGACTGATCCAGGGAACCCAATGCTCCACTCAGCTTCCTGAGTACAATGAGAAGGGTCTAGCAATGAGCTGTGTGGAATGACGGTATGTCCTTTGTGCCCTGGGAAACAAACAAACAAAATGTTTTTATTTCACATTAAGAAACATAAAAAAGGTCTACAGTATACAGAATTGTGACCCATAGTACCACTAATACAATCTAAAGGTCTGGGTAATTTTTTGTTTGTTTGTTTGCATGGGGCAAGAGGATCTCATATAGAAGCATTGCAGTGCCTCTTTGGTTAGGAATGTTATTGTGGATTTAGCACAGGGTGTAAAGCACCCATGAGAGTCAAAGTTGGAAATGGGAATTGGGATGAGTAGCCTATTCAAGGACACGGAGGATATAAATCCAGGTGTTATGACTATAAAGCCTTTACTCGAAACTGGTAGACTACCAATTAATGTTCAAAACCTAAACTGAATTAAGTAAATCAATAGACATTACACAAAGCTTTATATACCAAAGGCATCCAAACATTCTCCCTCTTTAAAGTCACAATTAACGACTGTGGATGAAAACTTAAGTTTTGCATTTGAATTTTGAGATGAATCTTCTTTCATCCTTCAGAGCCTTTCAAAAGTAAATCATTACTGTCTATAGGTTTACCTGTCGATTGACTCACAGAGTATGAGGCACATAGCCTTGCTATCTTATTTAGACAGATTTTTATCATTTACAATTCGTAAAAATGCTAAATTCTAGAAATCATGAATATTTACAAAATATTAAAAATGTGACCTACTCAGAACTTGAAATGCTGAAAAAAAATTAACCTACAATGTATATGGAATTTTGTTCTCTTTTGGTATTCTTTGAATAAATTAAAAATTTAGGATTTAGATTGGAAGAAAAGGGTTCACAGCAGGTTTGTGACTTATTTCTTCTCTTAAAAGTATTTTCACAAGGATAGATCCAGTCTGTCTACATTGCTTTTGTAAATAAGACTGCAATTTATATGTTTCTGGAGCATGACTGGCTGGAGAATTAGTGTAGTGATGTAAGCAGTTTCTTTTCTGTGCAATTTAACTGAGTATAAAATGGAGGCATTCTAAAAGTGAAATGGTTTCCCTTTGTGAACAATCTTTCCATGAATATTGCCCCAAATTTTCTGTTAATTTAAAATCAATGTGCCAATGCAGGAGAAAAAGGACATATTTGGAGGCTGCCTCTGACAGCTCGGGGCTCTTCCATTAAAGAATGTCTCATCTGTGCCTGGTGCTTGCCTCTGTCATTTAAATTATTAGTAAAGTTTGATATTAGGTAAGATCTATAATGCACCTAAGTCTGCTTTAACAAATTAACTCTGTGCTAACGTATTTCCAATGGATTTTTATCACGAATTAAAAAGTAACATTACCTGTAAGTGAGCCATCAACATCAATCAATACCATTTCATGTTCCCAGCGAAAGCCGGCCTTGTTTGGTGTGTGAAAATACTGGATGTCAACAAACTTTGCACTCCAACCCCCACATCTGTCATTACAAACTCCAGAGATGGATGTCACTCCCAAAGCTACACAGTTGGGACGGTCAAAGTTCATAAAGTACACAGAAGATACAGTCAAGCCTTCACTAAATGGGAGAACCAGGCCTTTTGTTGTGCAAAATGCAGACCCCATTCCCAGTTCATCAAGATGGCCAACTATTTTGGCATTTTTAATCACTGCTCCATTGGTTTCTCCCCACCCTCCAACATAAGGAGCCAGGATCCTCTTAGTCTCGATTCCAGCCTCATAGTTATTCACCATCACAAAGTTATGGAACTGAAGGGCACCTCCATTGACCCATTCAGCTCCTTTTTGACAATTCCAAGTAGTAAGTGAGTTAAATATTGCAGGCACAGGCACAGTAGACGTACAAGATCCCGTTTGCATGGGGAAATATTCCTCAAAGATCCACATTCCAAACCAACCTTGAGAATGGACGGTATTGTTAAAAAATTTGCCAAGGGGAACTCTTTTTTGACAAATGTTTCTGTCATAGGATGGCCCATCAGGGTGGTTGTTCATCCGGTACCAAAAGCCAAAGTGAGTGCCGCCAGCAACAGCATTGTGTTGTATGGTATTGTTTGGGTTGGTGACCCAAAACGCAGCCGGGGTCACATCATCATTCAGTAGACTGGTACTTTGCTGTACAAATACTGCCAAGTTATACTGGAGGATATTGCCATGTTCAATACCGTCTTCTATAAAAAATGCTCCTCCCTTAATATCATATATAATATTCCTCTCAACCAGAAGATGGTGTGTGTTATGGATAGTAACAGCTCTGTTATAGGCCTGGTGAATTGCACAGCCTCTTACGTAAGATTTAAACTGTAAATCTCCAAGCAGGTGCCAATGTATTGGATATCGCCCCAACCGGAAAGCCTGGCCAGCATGGAATACCTGTTAAGCCCAGAAATCACAGTTATTTAGTAATAGCTCAGATGTTGAGCTCGTATTTTCTTGTTTCAAAAAAATCTCAAATTTTATGTTATTATTAATACATTTATTTCTTCTAAAGTTTTCATGTTTATTATTTGAAAATGTCATTGAACCTCCAACCCACCATGTTTTATACAATGTATAACAGACCACACTTACTACAAAATGAATGAAAGAATATAAAAAGCCATCTTTGACTCTTCTGCTTTTTACCTTGGTATATTAGTAAACGTCTGTGTTTCAGAAAATAAAACATCTAGAAAGACTTCTTTTTCTCTTTTACTTTACTTTGCTTCTTATGTAATAATAAGAAACATTTCTTGAATGTTTTATGTGTGCCAGATGTTGTGCTCCTTTGCATGCATGATCCTAGTCTTTGCCATAATCCCCTAAAGTAGGCACTTACCATTGACTTCATTTTACAGATTAATAAATGGAAGTTTAGAAAGGCTGAGTATCTTGTTTATGGTTACGAAGTTCCATTTAAACCCAAGTTGGTCTAACTCTAGAGCTGGTGCTCTTAATCACGGGGCTGTGCATTCTTTCAAATGGTCTATGATTTAATAATTTAATACAGAGGATACCAGTGTGTCTGTGTGCATGTGTACGTTCATGCGTGCATGCGTGTGAGCATGCACAGGTGTGTCATATAATCTCATGGGGCAATGAAATAAAACATTAGGTCCACTATTTTTGTTGTCCATCTAAAACTAAAAATTAACCATTATTAATATTCGATATTCAGATCAAACTAGCAATCTCACTTAGTCCATATCTCAGATGTCACATGTAACATAGGAGGAGGGAAGTTTACAAAATGGAGGTGCTGACTATGTCACCATCAATGCAGTCGCAGTGTGCCCGGTTTAACGGATTTATGGATTTTATTATCCCTTCCTCCCTCCCTTCCTTCCTTTTACTGAATACATGATAAAAACTATGCCAAACCCTGATTATACAGCCTGAATATAAATAAGATACACGGGAGTTTCTAATGTCGTAACAATAATATGCATATTTAAGTATTTGTTTAATTTATAATCAACTGAGAATCTACTATATGCCATGCATTGTTCCCGGGAATCAGCAGAGAACCATAAAGACAACATCTATAAAATAATAGAGCTTATGTTCTAGAGGAAGAGATTGAAAATAAATAAAAATAGATATCCTGTTAGGAGTTATGTATAAATAAAGTAAATAGGAGTTCGGGTGACAATTTTAAATAAAAGTGGTGAGGAAAGTCCTCTCTGGAGTGATTACACTCATCAAAAGATCTGACTGAAATAGGGGTATAAGCCATGCAAGTATTTGGTGGAGGAGGATTCCAAGCAGAATGAAAAGCAAGTACAGGCTGGGCATGGTGGCTCACGCCTGTAATCCTAGCACTTTGGGAGGCCAAGGCAGGCAGATCACAAGGTCAGGAGATCGAGACCATTCTGGCCAACATGGTGAAACCCTGTCTCTACTACAACTACAAAAATTAGCTGGGTGTGGTGGTGCACACCTGTAGTCCCAGCTACTTGGGAGGCTGAGGCAGGAGAATCACTTGAACCCGGGAGGTGGAGGTTGCAGTGAGCCGAGATCGTGCCACTGCACTCCAGCCTGGCAACAGAGTGAGACTCCGTCTCAAAAATAAATAAATAGATAAATAAATAATGAAAAGCAACTATGAAGGACCTGAGATAGGAATGTGCTTGACATGATCACATAAGGGGTCCTCTATTACTAGCATGGCACAAGCAAGGCATAGGGTCATAGAAGATAAATCAGAGGGCATCTCTGGGTCAGATCACATGGTTCCTATGGGATGGACTTAGACCTGTTGTTTTACGTATACTATGAAGCCACTGAAGGATTTTGAAGAGGGGTGTAAGAAGATATGATTTATGGTTTTAAAATTTTACTTTGACTGAAGTGTGGACACTCTATTAGAGCAAGGTGGAAGCAGGAAGACCAGGTAGGAGAAAATCACAGCAGTCCAGGTGGGAGGAGATAGTGGCTCAGGCTCAGGGTCAGGTGGAGGTATGGAAAGAGACTGGATTCTGGATACAGCATTTTGTGGGTAGAGAAGATAGAATTGCTGATGAATTTGATTTGGGGTGTGAGAAAATTTGAGAAACAAAATTTTGGTATGATCAAATGGGTATATTAAAATTGTTTACTTATGTATCTGTCTCCCCTATCAGATTCTAAATAGCATTGACAAACAGCAGGAGCTTAATACATATTTCTCGTATGGATAACCTTGAGAAAACCACTGTGATTTAGTAATAATGCCTCTCACCTCTACATATTCTATTCTCCCAGTTACCATGTTAGCACCAGGTACAGGAGCATGAAACATAATACAGCCTCCAAATTGGTCACTTCCTATTTCTTCTCCAAACTTTCCTTGGAGACAGGTCTGTGTAGCAAATTCTCCTTTAAAACAGTTTTTAAAGCATCATTAAAAAACATGTCAGAATCCTCCTATATTGAGGATTTGAATCCTCAATTTGAATTTCTCATAAGTAATTGTATCATTTGATTCACTTATAATCTCAACCTCATCCTAGAACATAGTTATTTGTATTCACATCATTTCCTCTTTCAGATAGCAAGATAGGTAAGTACCTTGTCTTGTTCAACTTTGTATTCCCTAAAGTACTTACACAGTATTTTTCAGAGAAGATACTAAACAAATATTTGAATGATCAAGGGAATATTGATAATGGGATTCAGTTTTATTATTTCTGAAGCCTTCCCCAAGATTTGAGGATTAACATAATCAATGCAATTTTACATTTGTAGAACATGAGAATATGCATTATGTCACTTACTTTTTACAACCAGAGTAAATAGAACAGAAAGTGTTCTTAATTTAAACAGGATGAAACTGGGTTTCATGTACATTGTGAGACTTGATGCAGATGAACTGGAATGAGAACGTGGCTCACTTGACATCAAATCCCGTGAGCTTTGTCTTATACTTCCTTTTTTAAAAAAAGGCTATTATTTAAGCTGCATCAGTTATTATTCAACTACTTATAGTATTGTAATGATATCAATGATGACTTAAAATATTTAAAAGAGAACTTGTAAGATGCATTATGCTTCCTGCTATAGATATGAGAGCTGTGATAAACATCATTAAAATTTACCAATATCCATTTCCCTTCTATTTCTGGGTATATGGGATTTGCACTAACTCGCTCTCTTCAATTTGAGTTAGACATAGCCATGGAATCAGTTCTGACCAATGACCCTGGAGTATAAGAAACAACTATCACTTTGAGACCAAAGCAATTAGTTGCTAGTGCTTTACTCTTCAGCAATCTCGTCTCCTGCCTCAGAGATCACAGAAGCCCATGCTGAGATAGATGCTTCATAAGCCTGGATCCCAAGGCAATTATAATGAGAAGAGCCCACCTGTTGACCCATATGGGACACATGTAGTATGAATAAGAAATAGACTTTTATTTATTTATTTATTTTGAGATGGAGTCTCGCTCTGTCGCCCAGGCTGGAGGGCAGTGGCACGATCTCGGCTCACTGCGAGCTCCACCTCCCGGGTTCACGCCATTCTCCTGCCTCAGCCTCCCGAGTAGCTGGGACTACAGGGGCCCGCCGCAACACCCGGCCAATTTTTTTGTGTTTTTTAGTAGAGACGGGGTTTCACCATGTTAGCCAGGATGGTCACGATCTCCTGACCTCGTGATCCGCCCTCCTGGGCCTCCCAAAGTGCTGGGATTACAGGCGTGAGCCACCGCGCCCGGCCGAGAAATAGACTTTTATATTTTAAATCACTGACATTTTGGGCTTGTTGATAAATAGAGCATAACCTAGTCCAGTGGTTCTTAACTGAGGCCAATTTTGCCCCCAGGGAACATTTTTGCAAAGTCTGCAAATGCTTTTGGGTGTCACAGTTGTTGGAGGAGGCTACTAGAATTTAGTTGGTAGATGCCAAGTGTGCTGTTAAACATTCTGTGATGCACAGGACGATGCCCCACAGCAAAGAATTATCTGGGCCAAAGTACCAACAGTGCTGACTTTGAAAAACTCTGACTTAGCCTACCCCCACTGGCTCAGATCTGTATATCTATAGATTTCCCCCCCCATCATTCCATCTATCCATTTGTCTGTCTATGCATCATCAGTCTAGGAATTAATTAAAGTATCTTTCTACAGTAAATCTACTCTCACACTGTTCTGATAAACTGCAAATTCTGGAAAATTGAAAAAGTCCTGATGAATCAAAGATTTGCTAAATGGAATCTTTGTATCACTATCAAATATAGTTCTCCATATTTTCTGAGTAAATCTAAATAATGCAGTTTCTTGCTGGCAATATGTAAAACTAATCATCAAGGTCTAATCTAAACATAATAATGAATCATAAGTATAGAAAGAGAATTTATCAACAGAAACCAAGTGCACTTATTTCTCCCATTATAGTGTCAGCATTAACCACTTTTCTTCAATATATTCAAATATCTTCATGTTACTCACAAATACTATCAGCATTTTCAAATTTCCACATTTAATTATATTTACAAGATATTTAAAGGTATCTTATAATAAGATTAATATCACTAAATTATATTTAATGATATTTACAATGAAATACATTGAAATAATGTATTTCAACATATACCAATTAAATTTTAGAACTATATGGCATGATTATACCAACCACGAGAGCTACTAAAATTACCTGTGTCAAATCCATCAGGACATGCTAGAATTTTGTTATTCCACTCAACATTATCAGATCCTCTTATTAAAATATTTCTTGTAAGAATTCCAACTTCTGCTCTTGCTTCAAACAGAGTTCCATCAGGGAGTGTGACCGTAATTCCTAAGTGTGTGTAATTTAGTGGATTACTTAGTGTTATGTTTATGCCATCAGCAGATACAGCCGCAATGGTCCTTTTTTCATTCTCTCCTTGACTGTGTCTGTAAAAATTTTAACAAAACATGTTCAAAATTAATATTAATTGACATAACATATTGTTTTGGTATATTTGCTTTATTCATTTTAAATGCTTCTTTGAAAAAACAGGAAACTATTCTTATGTCATATAATATTCTGAACAGAAATTAGAATAAAATATTTTATTCTTGCTTTATTAACTAAGTTTTACAAATATTTTCAATTCAATTAAATATTTTTCAAGTTCTACATTCGTTCCTAGAACTGGATTAGCTTATTAAAAGTATTTGGAAAACTATTCATTTATAATGTGGAGGATCATACTCAGTGGTTCTCAGTTGAGGATGATTTTATTCCTCCCAGGGGACATTTAGCAATGCCTGAAGACATTTTTGGTTATTACAATTGAGGGCTGCTACTGGCATCTAGTAGGTAGAGGCAGGGGTGTTTCTAAGCATCCCATGATACACAGGATTTCCCCAACATAACGAAGGTGATCTGGTCCAAAATGTCCGTCATGCACAAGTTGAGAACATTTACAAAGGGGAGTCACTGAAGGTTCCCGAACAGGAAAAGAAATGATTGAGTTGAAGTTTAGGAGATCTCATTTTTACCATTCCTCCAAATATACCCCAAATTCCAGTCACAGCAGAAAGAATTTGCCAATTCTATAATGTATACATTCATGCATTTAGTCATCCAACAAACATTTATTGAGGGTCTAACCTGCATTTTAGGCATGGAACTAAGCACTGGGGATGCCAAGTGGAAAATTTCCCTGATTTTAAGGAGACAAGTGTGTCAGTGCTTGATTGTATAATATAGTATCTACTAAGTGATTGCTGCTGTTAACAAAGGTAAGCCTAAGGGAGTTACCTCTGTGTTTTCCCAACATTTTCTTTTGACCCTTCTCTCCCTTGGCAAATCCTTTCCCTCCTTTAAATGGCAGTTCGAATGACAGTGCCATATGTGAAATAGATTCAAAGCAGCTCTCTCAACTTTCCCAACCCTACTTCTGCATTCTCAATACACTCTGCATAATGCTCTGTTAATGCTCAGAGCAACCACGCTGCAGTCCTATGAGATATCTTTCTGTCCCTTCCGCTGACTTGTCTGCTCTTCTAGGAATGAGACCCATTGAAATCATTTTATATGCTGAGCACTTAGTACAGCACCTGTCACAACTCAATAACAGGTTTTGATTGATTGAACAAATTAATGCAGAATGAATTCGTGGGGGTAACAAAGTGAAATGGAGCCCAAATAGGAAGGTGATGTAATATTCCAGGTGTGAGAGGCTGAGAACCTAAATCAAACTGAGAGCAGAGAAAGCTGATGAGGGACATGCCAAGGGCAGACCAAAAGAACTTGGTGATGCAAAGGAAATAATGAATGATGATAATTACAAGGTCACTGAAAAAGATTTGTAAAGAAGAAAACTAGAATGCAGGGGTTTAAAGAAAGAAAACAAAGGATAGTAAGGATAAAATAGAAGAAATGAGCATATAATATATAAGCAGTTTACAACTCTAAGATAAAGGATTAAAAAAAAGAAAGATGCTACAGGAGACAGGAGAACAAAGCTGTTTATCAAGATAATGGGTGGATGGGGACAAGAATCATTGCAAAAGATGCAGGGAAGGAATTGTAGGGGAGGGGCAGGGAGAGGTGGAGATTAAGGATGCTTAGAGATAAGGGTGAACCAGTGGTACAAGATCTCACAGGTAGTATGCAAAAAGGCTTTAGATTAGCCTCTCTTGAATTTTCCTGAATTCGGATGATACAATGATTTCTTTAGAAAAGAAGTTCTGAAAAGCATTTTCATATATTGTATGTACCTAAACACATCTTTCCTTCCTTTGTTGTAATATAACAACACTAAGTGTAACAAGCACTTAGTTTGAGCCAAGTTCTGCTTTTACTGCTTTACACTTATTAACTAATGTAATCTTTACTAATAACATTCCAATTTTACTGAAGCACAGAAAGGTAAAATAATATAACTACAGAACTAGTAAGTGGTATTGCTGGGAGCTAGACACAGACAAACTGACTTTTGAAGGCATTTTCTTAACCACTGACTTTTGAGGGCATTTTCTTAACCACTGTGTTTGCAAACTATCAAATAGGATTTATCAAGGACACAGTGAACAATTAGATTTGGTGGGAAACTCCTTAATTCTTGTTTCTGAAAATTAAATAGCCCCATTCTAAACCCTAAAGCTACCCTTTCATTTCATACAAAAAACCATAAATGAAGATTTTCTATTCTGTTAGTAAACCCTGTCATTTTCCTGCTTTTTTATTTTGCCTTTATATAATTAAAATTTCTTCCAAGGGCAGAACAAAATGAGCACTAAAGCTAAGTATATATTTAACTCTTCCTAATAACTGCAAGTCTATTTTTAATATGGAATACGGCAAACACAAAATGCCATTTTGAATTTTAAATTTAAGCTGAATCATGGCCTTAATAAAATTTAGCTGTTTCTTATCATAAATCACTGTTTGTTTCCTAATAATCACAACCATATTCAATTTTACTATTATCTATAATTTGAACAATAAAGCAAAAATAATGCTTCTCTTGCCCCTACCCCCGTGATACTTGGTGGTATTATGTTAATTTCTTTCTTTTATGTCTTATTTGCTAAAATATGTAATTAAACAGAAATTAAGGGTCATAGTTTCAGTTTTAAAATAACAGGCACCTAAAAGGTTATGTGAATCATCACTTTTCATATAATGATTTCTTCTTTTATTTAGTCATTACTGACAATTTTGCTCCATGGGAGCCACTGCTAAGGCTGTAAGATAAGAGAGTTCACTGGCTGCTTTCAAACGTGTTCTTTAGTGACTCACACTAAGAAGCTCATTTACATTTTTGCATTCATTAAAGTATGTATTTAAAACTCTAAGATATTTCCAAATGACTTTTAGTAGTCAAATGCTTCTTTTTTCCAAACAGATTCTTACATGGGAGCCAAACTATGTAAAACATACATTTTACTAGGACATAGTTATTTCATAAGTTCAAATTTATATTTTTTCTTATTGTAAATCTATCAATTATAATGCAATACAAATGGGATCAACCTAATGTTAACACTTGGCAAATCTGTATTTGGCTGTTCGTGTTTCTTTATTAGAGTTTTCAAGTTTAAACCAAATAGTCATGCACCATCTGAATTGTCCCTCTTTATACAGTGTAAAAATTTCTTTTCTAAATACATATCATTAAGCCCAGAAGACATCATACCTGTGTCCTGTGCTTGCAATTACAATGTTATCTCCTGGCTTCCATGTTACTGCTTCTTGTAAAATTAAAATTCTTTCCCCTGCCTTTGCAGTATGAGCCAAGCGAGTCCAGATCACAGGAACAGGCACACCTAGAACCAACGTACACACTGAGTATTTCTTTACATGTGTTTGACTGGTTATTGAGAACTTTATGCATTTTAATCTTTTCCTAAATTGAATCAGTGTTGGAAAGGTTCATTTTGCCTTAGCATTTCATACATTTCTTCAAGAAGAAATATGTAGAATGCTTGCTTTATAAAAGTAACAATTGTGTTTGTAATAACATGCATATGACTATAAAACTTTTCAAAAATATTCTTCTGCAATGATATACCCTATTTATAACCATCTTTTTTTTTTTTTACAGGGACACAATGTAAATGGGTGTGATAATATTGACAAAAAGCAGAATTCTATTGTCTTTGTCATTATTGATAGGAATTTGTTAAACTAATAATCTAGAGTCAAATGTAGACTTTTCTAAGAAATTACGTAGTATACATAGTGAGCCCCAGGTAGGACTTTTATGATAATAAGGTATCATGTTTCTGGTATTCTAAATTCATAAAAGGGATAGATTATTGCAATGTAGAAGACTTCAATATAAAAAAGATTCACACCATGCTTTCTTTAAATAGTATGTTGCCCTGGTACCTCAAACATGATCAAAATCATTTTTGGTTGCTGACAGTGTTCTAGGATATAGTTATAGAAATCTACAACTATAAATTTCTTGTTATATTTCAGAGAGACCCCATTTTCAGATACAAATATAAGAAATTACATTCTTCTGCTTCTAGACTTAGTCTTTTTATATAGATAAATAAATAAAGTAAACAGGCAATCACAGACAGGTACTACAGTTACTGTAAAATGAAATGAGAAGAGCCTGGAGGCCTATAGAAAGGGGGAAGAGGAGGAATGTAGAAAAGGCCCAGAAAGACTTTCCCAAGTGTGACCTTGGTTGAGACAGAGACAGAGTCTCACTCTGTCACCCAGCCTGCAGTGCAGTGGTGCGATCTTGGCTCACTGCAGCCACCGCCTCCTGGGTTCAAGTGATTCTCCTGCTTCAGCCTCCTAAGTAGCTGGACTTACAGGTATGCACCACCATGCCTGGTTAAATTTTGTATTTTTAGTAGAGACAGGGTTTTGCCATGTTGGCCAGGCTGGTATGGAACTCCTGGTCTTAGGTGATCCACCTGCTTTGGCCTCCCCAAGTGCTGGGATTACAGTTATGAGCCACCACGCTTGGCCTGGTTCTGAGTCTTGATGTCTGGGCCAGCCTTGCTTGGATGTGGGAAAGAAGGAAGGGGTACATAGGGGATATCTAAAGACATGAGAAGCCTAACACACTTTTACTTTGCCACAGGATAAATTATAATTATCACAGGATAATTATCCCTGGTGTCCTGGTGAGTCTTTCTCTACCAACTCCCTTAGCCACTTGGCCACAGTACCGTGCAGATCCAGGATTCCCTCCCGCACAGCCAGTGTTTTGGCACCATAGACAGGAAGCTCAGGGGATCGCAGGTGCCCATGCAAGGTAATGACAGCCTTGTGTTGGAATGGGGATGTCTCTGTCCCAATCTGCAAAAGATGTCACAAATGCTATTCAGAAAATTAAAACCCCAAATCCACAATTCTAATTACACAAAAGTTGTTCTTTTCTATCTTCTCTTCTCTTTTGAGCATTAATTGCTCAGTTGTTCATATCTTTCTTTGGAAAGATAAAACTTTAATTTTCTAGTGAGCCAAATACACTATGCCAGACCTTTGAAAGGTATACTGATTGACTTTAGCCACATCTAAGAGTTAATTCTTTCCTGTTCTATTTTAAATTCTGCTCTATGGGAATACACTACTATCTTCCCATTAAAAACACAATATTCTGGGAAACTTTTATCCCTACATGAAGGATTTTATACCAAAAACAGAGACCTAAACAAAGATAAACTTAGGAGAGGTTGGTATAATTAACTATCCATTTTACACATAGTATTTAAAAAAAGGAATGGAGAAAAGTTAAAAATGAACATGTATTATGTTCTTTTGAGTACCTGAAGAATGCCTCCATCTGTAATTAGAATATTTTCTGCCTGGAGTTCAATGTCAGCTTCATCAAATATTAGAGTTCCACCTATGAATCATAGAATTTTAAAATACATCACAAGGAAAAGTCTTGTTAAAAGTTACCTATTAAATTACTCATTACAATTTAACATAATAATTATTAAATTATACAGTAAATTAAACTTTAATTCCTCATTCAAGTTCTGCTATTGTTATGCATGTAACTTCACTTCAGTTCTTTGGCAACATAAAAACATAAAAACTCCAGACAAGACAGTGGGAGTTTACAGAAAATCAAATTCCAGGGAAGATTACTTTCCCTCGAACATTGGGAAAGTAGCTTATTTTAGATGCTACTAAATAGCTCAGCTATGCAAATTCGTTCTACAAAGACAGCACCTCAAAATATAAATTAATAATGAAAGCATTTAAAGAAAAGCATGTTTATAAAAACGGTTATAATGTCAACATTAGCTCTGAACTTTTACCCATTAATTTGCACTGTCAACAGCTACAGCCTGATTAGCATTATTAAAGATCATACCAAGATACATTTTTATGAGACTAGTGTAAATTTGTAAGTAGTAAAATTTTATTTGTCCAAAGGTCCAATATTTAATAACTTCAAAAACCTGAAACTTTTCTATTTTCCCCGAAGTTAAAAATAGTACAATAACAATGCAGGAGTCTTCAGATGGCTCAGCTGTTATGGCAAAGTTTCTACACTAAATCCTCAAGCAGTCTACTCTTACCAATTAATGATTCTTTTACATGCAATTATCACAGTCATGGTTATTTAGTTTTCTACAGTAAAAAACAAAATACAGCAGCAGAGACAACCCCAGGCAACAACTGAAACAGGTTCATAGGGAAAGGTGAAAATCACAGCCTATCTTCCAAAGGGAGTCAAGGGGATCATTTAGGACAAATCTCTATGACTTTTTAACTCTTGGGACCCACTACATCAGTGTTTTTCAATGTGGAAAATGCCTTTTTTGTTGTGATCCAGTGAAAGTGGGCGGGCATGCTGACACCTCCCCACTTTGTTATTGAACCAAAAGTTTCATAAAACAACATTTACTTTTAAAAGGTACTTACTCATATGCATGCAATCCATTCTGATGCTTTCTATCCTATTTAATTTTTAAAATGCTGGCTGCAACACATTAAATAATATCATAACCACAAATGGATTGCAATACTCAATTTAGAAAGCCCAGGACTACACTGTGTACTAAAAATATGATGCAACTATGGATGTTCTTAATTGTGGACTTTGATTAAATCAGTTTCACAGAAATATTTCTCAGGCAGAGTCTAATGAACAGATATTCAGAAATTTACCCTGAATAAGCAACATTTTCAAAATAGGGGTGCTTTGATCCAGCAGAATGGTCTGTCCTTTTGTAATAACAACAAGAGACCCTTCTTCTGGGGGAGATTGTCCCCCCCATGAGAAATTGGAGGACCAAGCATCAATATAAAGAAAGTCAGCATTATCCTGTAATAGAACATAGGAGACCTTAAAATTTAGGGATTTTACCAGAGTTTTTCATTCGATTTTTCAAAAAGCTTTTTATTACAATATAAATATATTTATATTGCATAGTAAATATATATAATATATACAAACAATAAGCATTTTATTAATAAAATCTAACCTACTTAAAATGTGTTATAATTGCCTCTTGGTTTATTTCACAATAATGATCAAGTTTAAAAAATCTATTACCAATTACCCCACAACTCAGAAAAATAAAAAATCTAAAATAATAAAAATTTTAGGAAAAGCAACAAAAAACATAAGCTACTTTAAATGTATTATAGTCACAGCTCAGTTATTTTTTTTGGAGATATTAAAGTAAAACAACCATTACCAATTAGCCCACCTCCCATAATGCTAGTTTTCTGTTGCTGTGATTACTATACCCAACAGCACTATTACCAGTTTGGCCATGCCGACACCTCTGATGTGGACACGAACTGGAGCCCACCCTGAGGGAGTATGGGCATCTGTCACGCAGATGATGTGTGTCTTGTTGGAATACTCAACATCACATTTGGCTTCAGCTATACTGATATGAACATCCTCTACATTTTCACTGTAAAAAAAGAGGGAACACATAACATGTATGTTTTTCTCAAACTTCTAGATCATGCTGTCAAACCCTTTTATTCCTACATATTATTGCAAAAAATAAACAAATAAATAAATAAACCTGATTCTATCAGCCACCAAAGTGCAGATTGATGCTTTTTTTCGATACTAAGATTTCAAAATATTTATTGAAAAAAAAAGTAAACAAAGAGGTTAAGAGTCCAGAAAATAGGACTGTAAATAGCCAGTGTTCCAGTGTTGGGGAAAATAAAGCAGTGATTTTTGTTGTTGTTCAGTGGTTCTATGTTGATCTCCCAACAGGTACTTTTAAAAGAGATTTTCAAGGATCACTTGTCCATGTGACATTTTTATCATATTTGTGGACTTTAGAACTTAACCTCCAGGTAAAAATGCAAGTCAAAGGTAATCACAACTGCTTGAGGAGTTACAATGAGCCTCTGTGGTGTATGTGATCTGGTGTTTTGACTTCAGCCTTCCCCATCTGAATAATGATGGCAACGCAGTGCACAAACTTGAGCCAAATGATGAGTATGTTTAAGAAAAAGAAACTTGACCAATTACAGTGGAATAGACTTGCTATATGGAAAGGTGTTTCTTTGACCCAATGAAGCAGATCATGGCTGGAGATAAGATGGTGGGGAAAGCATATCAAGAAGGGGATTTATATTTGTGATGCTACATACTAGGATTGGGGGCAAGTTGTCTAACCTGTTTAATCTGTCTTCTAACCATAAAATGAGATAAAAACATCTCAGGAAGTAAGGCAGGATGTCTCTGTGGGTAGGCAAGTGGTTGCCACAAAATAAATACTCAGTAAATGTTAGCAATTAGTACTATTTTTGCCTTAAGCATAAGTTACGAGCATATAGGTACACATTACATGACTGTATTTCCACACTGTCCAGGCATAGGAGAAAGCAGGTGTAATGGCTCGAGTCTGGAAATGCACAACGATGCATGTGTGTGTGGAGACAGTACCTGAATCCTGATCCCATGACTGTCAGTCTGGTGCCGCCTGCTGTACTGCCTCTCCTGGGAGACACTGCAGTGATGAGTGGAGTCAGTGACACAGCGTATGTAAACGGAGTCATTGACTGTGACAAATCTTTCCCATTAACCACACTCACTTCACAGGCTTGCTCAGCTCCCGTGCCTATGAGAGGAGGATCAGAGTGAATGCAGTTCTGCCATCAGACCCTGATTCATTTCCAAAACCTCCAAACATTTTCAATAACATCTTCCTTTTCACACAATCATCTTCCTTTTCCAATATACATGGGCTGCATATGAATAATAGTGGCCTCTAGCAATAGCCAAAAACATTACAAAGTTCATGCTCACTATCAACAGAAGAAAAAGCCCTTGGATCCTCCCAGGGAGACTCTTGTGTAGAACATTCTACAAACCTGCCTGCTTAGTTTTCCAATTCTAGAGAATCTAACTTTGTAAATTAGAGCAGGAAGGAGGGAAGAACTGCTTAAAGACACACACACTGATAACAGCAAGCAGTGACAGCTGAAGGCAAGGTCAGAAACAAGGACTACAGAAACCTGATGCAAAAACATAACGAGAAGATGCAGAGCCAGTGTTAAGACAAACAACCTAAAACCTTGACAAGTCTCGAAGCATTGCTACGTATATATATATATTTTTAATCAGGATTCAAACTCTGGTGTCAAAATGATAAATAAGCTCAGTCATAAAAATATTGCATTTTTCAATATTCTTTGTTAAGGAAGTCAGAGAAAGAAGCAATAATATTTAGAAAAGCTTCAAAAATTTTGTTAATGTTTTAAAAAATGTGTTCACATAAAATATATCCTTTATTCTTCTAGAATATTCACATTGTTTAAATATCTTCTTAAATTTTGTGAAGTAATAACTAAGATTTGTTGTCTAAACTACCAAATATTTAATCTTCACAACAATCCATTGAATTAGAGTTAATAATATCTCCATTTCATACCTGGAGAAACTGAAGCAGAGAGAAGTTAAGTTACTTAGTTAGGGTTACACAGTAAGTAACAAAACTGAGATACAGGGACTCCTCAGAGACCAGGCTCTTAACCATTAACTAAAAATGAATAAGTAAGCATGAGAATAATAGCGAATTACATATGGTTCTAGACATCATTCCATCCACTTTATGTACATTAACTTATTAAACCTGACAAAAATCCAGTAGACTACTGTGATTCATCTCACTTTATAGTTGGAAAAACTGAAGCATAGAGAGGTTAAATAACTTATTCAATGACACAGGTAGGGTTTGAGTTTAGCAATGCACCACCGGCATTGACACTCATAGCCATTAATGGAACTCCTATCTTTAATGGAAGCCTAATATTCTAATGGGAACTAAAAATGTGTTCTCCATTTGGTATGCTCAGTAGACTAAGAACCATCAGTTTACACCATAAACTGGAAAACTGCAATTTATTATAAACAATTCCATCTGCAATTTATGAATCTCAAAAGACATGTGAATCTAGAAAATGTCCTGGAGAAATTGCTTAGAATCAGGACAGTAATAAAGTGATTTAATTACTCCAAGGCAGCCAGTAACTTGAAAAAAGAAATTAACTGATCTTTATAAAATTAACTAGTTCTCAAAGACTTCCATTATTTTTTCTGACAACTTACCATTATTAGATGGAATTTCACATAATAATGTTGTGTAATCAGATCTAAGCCTGTCAATTGCACATTCTGAGCCACAAACTAATATAATTGAATTTTGTGGATTAAATCCGGTGCCTGTCACAGTCATGGTTTGACCCCCACCAAAGCTCCCTAGTGAAGACAAATAAAAAGGAAAAACAAAGCTAATTAAAATAAAACCTCTTCTGTGTACATATTTTTTACCTTTATTTTAAATGTTAAAAGTAAGTTACATTAAATGAAGATTTTCTTAGAACTGAAATTATAGTGCATTATTCTATGAAAGCAACTGAATCTCTTTTGATTATAGTGTTTTAAAATCCTCACTGAGTAAATGTCATATCTGGTAATTTATTTGAACTATTTCTAGGAACTAAAATTTTACTTAAAAGAGATGTCACAAAGGATTTCAGAGTAGGCAAAACATAGACTATGCAATTACAATTTTAATTATAAGTAGGTTGGTTTATTTATATTTTCTTAAAGTTTTTAACCAAAAAATTTTTTAAATAAAAAAGATACTAATTTATGTAGAAATAATTACATACCAGTGATGTCTAAACATGATTTAAGAAACATTTTCACATATAACTGTCATTTTAAGTAAGATTAAGTTTTAAATAAATTAATCATACATCACTAAGAAATATAAGGTATTATATTTTAAAGTTTAGTATTTTGAAATAAATAATTATACACTTAACATGCTTATTTATTTGCAACATAAAGAAAAATATTTGTATTGTGCTATAAGAACTAGAAATTTTCACGGTGAAACCCCGTCTCTACTAAAAATACAAAAAAGAAAAAAAATTAGCCGGGCATGGTGGTGTTTTGCCTGCAGTCCCAGCTACTCAGGAGACTGAGGGAGGAGAATGGCATGAATCCGGGAGGCCGAGCTTGCAGTGAGCCAAGATCGCACCACTGCACTCCAACCTGGGAGACTGAGTGAGACTCCATCTCAAAAAAAAAAAAAAAAAAAAAAAAGAACACACAAAACTAGAAATTTTATGTGTTTGAAGAACATATTATTTTCTAAATAAGGTTTCTAAATAAGTGTTTTCTGAAACAAAATATCTGCAGTTTCCTGCATACTTATGACTACCTTGGCTTGGATTAATATTTTGAATATTAAGCGGGTACTCAAATACAACTGTGGACACGGCTGAGCCTTTTGTCTTATGATGCATCATAACAGGAAATGTGCCCCCAGCATGATCTCCCACGATGCACTGCAACACACTATCATTGGCCATGGTTACGTTACATTGAATGTTATTTATCATCACCGAGATTTCCAAGATCTCAGTGCCAAAGTTGGATCCAGTGATCTCAATTTCAGTTCCTGGTGGACCTAAAAAAAAAAAAAAGCACACAATATAAATATATCTAACTATTAATACACACTCATTTAAAGATATACCTCTTTACTTTTACAAATAAAAGAATACCTAGTGTTTTAAAACTAATATAAATATTAACAATACATGCTGTGTCATACAATACATTTTGACTACAATATATCCTACATTCTACTGTATATTAATTATAAGTGATTTATCTTAATGTTTATTATTTTTCCAGCCTTTCTGTCCATTCTATTGAGTTGTAAGTTACTAATTCACACTAATAGAGAAGAGAGGAGGAGAGAAGAGCAGGTCTAGAGTTAGGAAGTATGAATGTCTGAGCAGCGTGGGTTAGAGCATATTTTAAGGATGAGGCTTACTATCTTTATTTTTGGTACCTTCCTTCCTGACATCAGCAACTCTTTTGAGGAGAGACTACATTTTTCTTAATTCAAACGTTTTTGATAGTTATGACTTGGTAAACAAATTACGATATGTAAATGGGTGTAAGATAGTAAATACAGAAAAAAGGAATTAGTTTAAAGATTTGTAGGTGAATGTTGATGTTAATGCCTTGAATGAGTGCACATAGAACAAATAATTAGATTCTGGCTGTTCTCTTGCTTCCCTCTTTTGACAAATGTACATCAAGGGCATTAAACATATGGAATTTTTCATAGGCTGTTCAAATGAATATTTGCATACCTAAATTTTAAATGAAAATTAGTCAACATAACTTTTTACAAACACAGTGCCCTCAAGTAGTAGTTTGATTTTAATTCAAGTGATAATAATAAAGAATTACCATATAATTGACCATAGTGAGGATTGCTTAAATATAAATAATTATTTTATTTTAAACATGACAGATACTAAAGAGATATTTCATGTTAGGAATAATTTTGTTTGTTTGTTTCTTTGTTTGTTTTGGAGATGGAATCTCGCTCTGTCGCCCAGGCTAGAGCGCAGTGGTGCAATCTCAGCTCATTGCAACTTCTGCCTCCCGGATTCAAGCGATTCTCCTGCCTCAGCCTCCAGAGTAGCTGGGACTCCAGGCACATGCCGCCACGCGCGGCTAATTTTTTGTATTTTAGTAGAGACGAGGTTTCACCATGTTGCCCAGGCTGATCTCGAACTCCTGAGCGCAGGCAATCCACCCACCTCAGCCTCCCAAAGTGCTTACAGGCATGAGCCACCGTGCCTGGCCGAAATAGTTTTAAGATACAATCTAAAGAAAGTTGTATGGGTCTTAACATTTAATTTTGCTTGACATTTTGCCTTTCAAATGCAACAGTGTTGTTCTCAGTGTCGCCTGTCTCTTCAGCAAATAAAAACAGTTCAGTTTTCACACGTCTTCAAGTCTCCTATACCTTTGAATGCATTGTTTTGAAAAAAAAATCATTCAAAGACAGAGATAGGAAGAGACACAGTCCATGGAAATAAGAAACATATGCCACTATTTGCAAAGATTACAACCACATGGGAAAGAAATATGCCATTGCTATTGTTCACATCTTTCAAAATGAGCAAATTTGACATATTAAAGAAGATTTCGACAGCAAACTCTTTGAAGGCAGAAAATACTACTTACACAAACCTGATACATTTCTCTTGTGATGTAACCTAAAAAAGACTTTTCTAAAAGGCTAACATTTAATGAGTTCTTCATTAAATGTACTATTCTAAGTTACATTATATGAATAAACTTCTTTAACTTTATAATGTATGTACCTGCATAAATAAAGAAATTGATGTTTAAAAAAACTTGTCCAAAATTTCATCACTGGAAACTAAAGGAACCAAAATTTGAACCATTTGAGAGCCAAGCTCTCAACTATTACACTACAGCTTCCTCTCCAGAATTCAGTGCATATATAATAAGCATTCTAATAGCTCGAAGATGATCAGAAACAGCATAGCATAATGACAAAGGACCAAGATGATATATCAACCTATTGTTAAATTAGAAAAATGAGTCATGCTAAGTAATTAAGAAAATCTTATTTTATAACATTTTCTCTACTGAATGTGCCAATTATCTCCTTAAAAAGAATTCTGGTGTGCTAATAAGTTAATACTCATTTGTAGTTTCATGGAAATAAGGTCCTCTGAAACACTCTCAATGTAAGTAAGATTGCAACTTTTGAATTTTAACTGGAGTTTCTAGTTCAAATCAACATCAATAACATAAATGAATTAGCAGTTTGGTCTATCTTCACTTATTTTTAGGTCAAGTTAACCGGAATTTTGTTCCTCAATAGAAGTTGAAATTTGTCTAAAATTGTTATCCCATAAATGTGTGAAAAATAATCATACAATACAGACTACACAGAACTTGAATCCCATGTCTTAGGTGTAATTGCGATCATTTATAAACACACCTTAATAGTTATTTACAAATATCATTCCAATTCTATACTAATAAATATTATCGATACAATAATATCAAGATAATAAGGCAGATATTGGAGTACCTCTGCTTGGGATAATTCCTCTGAGAAATGGAGTATCCTCCAGGGCATATGTAAAAAGCAAAGGTGGATAAGCAATTGTATTAACAAAGATTTTAACACCGACCATTCCAGTGGTCCCAGCGGGAGTGCGGCAGTTGACTTCATTGGGGTTGATGGAAATAATTTGACAAGGGTCATCCCCAATAGTGACTGTAGTGTTGCCTGGATAGAAGCCATTTCCTGTGATCACCAATGTAGTTCCACCACCAATGCTTCCAGAAGTTGGTGATAGAGATGCTACTGGGGGGCTGCTGACAGTCAGGTTTCCCAGAGCCAAGCCTTTGCTTCCCACCACAACACTAAGAGAATGATGTCCAACTGGAAGAGGAGTCACAAGAGCAGTGATGTTGTTTTCATTAACCTCTATTGCTCTGAACTGTTGATTTCCAATGAAAACAGCAATGTCCTCCAAAACAGTCCCCAAACCTTCTCCTTCAATAAGAACTTTTACAGACCCTATGACAGAGTTTGGGAAGACTCCTGTTATATAAGGAGTGATGCTTTCTAAATATGAAAAGGTGCAGTTTCCCTGGCACTGGGCAGGCACTCCATGTATTAGAAGATCTACATTCACAAGCTGTTGGGCAGCAGGGGATGTTTCACATTCAATGGATGTATAATCCACTGATAGAACTTTACATGGGAAATGACCCATAAGGACTTTTACACCTGCAGAAGAAACTGCAAATCCAGAGCCTTTTATGGTCACTCTTGTCATTCCTGTAGTTGATCCTGCATTTGGCAACACCAGGTCAATGTTTGGCAAAAGCACAAATCGCCTATCAAATTCATTGGACAACGTATTGATAGCAGTGCCCAAGTTGTAGACAGTCAAAGTGACAATTTCCCTGATACCAACATCCATTGAGTTTTGAGGGTCAATATGACATGTAATTGAATCCTCACTACTTTCTTCTACGACACAGGGGTAGCTACCAATTGTAACCTGTAAGTGAAATGAATGCAAAATAAAACAAGTCAATACATATCTCCAGTATAAACAAATGTTGTATTAGCAACAACTATAAATTTAAAAAGCTAATCATGTGCAAATAAATATCTTTTATTCATAAATTTAATTGGGGAGGGGCTGATTAAGGCATCTCTTGGATTAAATTGTGATTTGTACATAAATGTGCATTGCTACATTATTCATAATAATCAAAAGGTGAAAACAACCCAAATGCCCATCAACTGATGAATGGATAAATAAAAGGTTGTTTAACATACAATAGAATATTACTAGGTCAAAAAAAGAATGAAGTACTGATACATGGTACAACTTTGGTGAATCTTGAAAACATTATGCTGAGTGAAAAATAAATAAACTTGGTCACAATGAACCACATATTGTATGATTCTATTTACAAGAAATGCCCAGAACAGCCAAATCTATAAAGACAGAAAGTAGATTAGAGATTGCCCTGGGCTGGGATCGATGGAGGGGTTATGTGTGATATCTAAGGGATTTAGGGTTTGTTTGTTTGTTTGTTTGTTTTGGTAATGAAAATGTTCTAAAATTGATTGTGTGATGAATGTCAACTCTGTGCCTATGCTAAAAGTTTATGAATTGTACACTTTAAATGGGTGAATTGTATAGTATGTGATAAATCTCAATAAAGCTGATAAAAATTAAATAACAAGGTTATCGTCAAAATACTTTCATTGGGAACATGTAATAGAAGTACAAAGGAGGTATTTATATTCTTACCTTATTAGCACATGTGAGATTACTAAAGCCATGTCCAATAATTGTTATTAGTTCATTTACTGTTCCAGTGGATGGAGTAATGTTGCTTATAGATGGTGAAAAACAACTTGAAACCTCAAATAGCAATCTTTTTGAATTTTTAACCCTGGTATTGTCCAGGCCGCACAGGGGTTCTGTTGCTAAGCAGCCTGCCACAGAGCTTCCCAAGTGCCAGTTCTCACGTCCTCCTTTAGACAAAAGAACTGCCTGTAAGTCATGAATAACATTCTGGAATGATAACTGTTTTTGAACTGTGTTACTTTTTATTTTGATGATGATGGTTTAAATTCTGGTAAATCTTTTTTGAAAAACAAAATGACAAATGGGTCTTAGGCAGTACAAAAGTATTAAAGACCTTATCAAAGATGTCACAGTAAAGAGAGAAAACTGAATATAAAATTGATTTATTTTTCAGTTTGTCCAAGGCCAGACCCCATGGGGAAAATAATAACATCATCTTACATTTTAATATATGTCCAGGCACATACATAGTGTCAGAACATTTTTACATTACATCTCACTTGAGGCACACAACGATTCTGAGGGAGAGACTGGTGGGAAGACATTAACATAATCCTTATTTCAGAGGATAAATTCCAGCCTCAGAGAAGCCCAAACCCATTCAAGGTCACATGGCTAGTAAGAGAGAAGCACAGTGAGACCCAGTCATCTGCTACCTGCTCCGGAAATATCACACACACCCTGGGTCACCTGTGTAACAGAGTTTCCATCTTTAACCATCTTACCATGAGCATATGTGGCTTCAGAGCTACCCACAAACAGGTGCAGGGGAATGTGCCTGGTTTCAGCTGGTAAAACATTAATGACTCCTTGGAGAAAAATGGAGTGAGCCTCATCAACGTACCCGCTGCTATAATAATGGATTCCAGGTGAAGTAAATTGGTAAGAAAATGAACCTGCCACAAAATGAGATTGTACATAATAAATATAAGCAATTAATGCATCTTTGAAAAGAGACTGAAAACGACTTGAAATGATCATTTAAATGCACATGCAGATGACAGTTTCTTATTTTTCAAGTGTATGAAATGTCAACAGAATGTAGTAAGAAAACTCGCTGACTATTAAAAGCTATCTTGTGTAATGAAATTACATTCCAAACAAGATCTAGCATTGATTTTCTAGAAAACCATGGCAAGTCGAGCATAACATACCAAAATTTAAAGAAAAATTCAACATGAAATGAAAGAATTTTTTTCATGAGTTAAAAGTTCAAAATCTTACATGTACAAAACAAAACAGGCAATCTAAAAGGCACATTTTACTCTGAGCTGTCCTATAAGAAACACTGATTTTCAATTGATTTCAGTCAGTCAAAGTTCATCACTTGCTACCAGATTGGTTTGATTTAAACATATATTCCTATTTTATTGCATTTTGCTTTCACAATATGTTTTTCAATTGATTGATTATCACAGCATCAATATAAAATATTTCTAATATCAGAACTCACTTGAGTATGTATAAAATAACTTGCTTACACTTATTGCTAACATTTTTACTACAGCAATAAAATGCCAACTAATTTACCTTATGCATTTGTGTATATTACTTACGTAAAAATACTGTATTAAATCTACCAAAATATGTCATTTTATTAGATCTAGGAAAAAGTGGCATGATGTGAAACCCAATAAGCAGAAACATACCTGATGTAGATTTTTGTCTTCCATTTGTGAATCCTTTGCCATCATAAATTACACTTCCAGGACTGGAGACAGAAAAAACCCTATATCCTATCCCTCTAAGAAATGGATGTGTTTGCCAATGCCATGCCACTGTGTCCCCTACAGACACATTTAGGACTGATGGTGACCAGGCATAACCTAATCCATGTACTGGGAACAAGAATTGAGTCATATTTTAAAAGAAAAAGAGAATTTCTTAATAATTATCTTTGACAACATTGCAATTTATGTACAGTCAGTAGTAAAAACATTTTAATCAACACTAAAACTTAATTACTTACATAATTTAAGCACTAAACAAAAACAAATAGAAATACTGGAAAGCAAGGTAAAAAGAAGATAAGGAAAAATTAAGTCACAAAACTCCAAAAGTGATGATCAAGACAATTTGAAAAAAAAAATTAGAAGTCAATAAATAATTTGCTTAGAAAGCTTACAGAGAATATTTTTAAAGCTATGATCAGTTTTATTTGGAATGTTCATTCAGAAATCCATGACGGATAATAAACTACAATTTGGGAGTTTCTGTACTGCAGCAAAACCAAATGGCAATTCCTGAAGTTGGAAACTGTAAAGTACGGCCTTCTAGACTCAATCTACCGTTAATTCACTCTATATATGACCCTCTATGTCAAGCAGTTACTGCTGACAAATTATAAAAGAAATAAGAGTACTCAGTCTCTCAATAATTTGAAATACAAAATAAATAAAAATCAAATTAATTTCAGGTTTAAGTGCTTCCATTTTTTCATAGTATATAAATGGCTGATACCTGAATCTTTCCCATTGTTAGTAATCCTGAATATATTCCCAGTTGAATGAAGAATACATTTTATGACATTTTCTGATGATGATGTAACATTGCAAGGGATGGACCCTAGAAAGAATAAATACTGGATATTTTTAAAAAGCAAACATTTTGTCAAATTTTTTTGTGAATTACAGAGATGAAGTATAATTCATCGACAGCCAAGACCCTAAAAAAAACTCTGCCTTATATAGTAGGATCTTCGGTACTTCTTTTCTCATAGTAATCATGTATGAGTACTCATTGTCTGCAGAACAACTCCTCCACTCTATATGTTGCATACACATTAAATACACAGTAATTATTTATTGAAATCAAAAGTAGTTATTCAGTTTCTCTCTATCACTTTAACCAAATACACTTAACCTTTTTTATACTACTAGAAAAATAAAACTGCGATTTAGAATCTTCATATAATAACTCAGCACCTATAGTATATCCTTTAAGCTGAGAAAAATGTTAATCACCTTCCTATGAAAGAAGCTCTTACCTAACAGCACGGTATTGTCAGCTGGTATTGTGCTGAATCCAAAACCCCTTATGGTGATTTCAGTTCCACCAAACAGGGAGCCTCTTTGTGGAAACATGCTGGTCACTTCCAAAACATACTGTATTGAAGAATTTAATTTGTCTCTGAGAAAAAAAAAATGGATACATTTTTCAATGAGCTTTCTTCTGGTTTATCTCGCTAAACTTACCTTGCTAGGATATGATTTCTTTAGAAAGAGGAAATAGTTGGATATTTAATTATACATTAGTTTTTCAAGATAGACAATCTGGCAATTATCATAATCTTGATTTGGTTGGATAGTATATTCAGTATTTTCCCCTAACTATGAAAATTAAATTTCTGAACATTCTAATGGCAGAAGAATTTGAGATGGAAGATCCTACAATATTATGGAAAAATATGCTTATGAGAACTGAGGTCACAAGAAATACATTAGATTTTTAAAAATATTTTATATTTCATTAGAGTAAAACAAAAAGGTAGCTCTGCTTTAAAAATAGTAATTAAATCTCACACATTTGAGTAATCAAAGTTTTGTAAAATTAATTTGAAGTTATTCCATGTTTGTTGAAAACTTGTCACGGTCTCCCTTCCACTACTTCAGGGAGAGAGTTTTTAATTTATTTTGCTTGGTTACAGACAATGCGTCTGCTAGGAGGCCTTCAAAATGTAAATGCTTTTCTGATATGACATACTTGACTTCCACATTCAAACTTCCCTCGTAACTTAAGAGAGGCAGAAAAATTCACGTGAGTCACTGTGTCAACTTTTAACTTCCATAGCATAACTGTGGTATTTCTTGAATCTGAATACACAATTTTGTGTGGTGTCAATTTCACCCATTATATCGTCAAGCTAAAGCACAAGCCAATACAGAACCCATGTAAGCTCTGCCCTGTGAAACCAAGAGGAGATGGATGTAGTGCTGAGGTTTATGTTTAATGTTGCTCATTTTCATTTACTTCTTGCAAGATTTTGCTGCAGTCATCTCCTTCTACTCTGACATTAGCTTTATTGGCCTTTTTGTATCCATAAAATTTCAGTATCTTCCTTTTCTAAGTATTCTAAACCAGTAACTTCCTCACACTGGAACTAAATTTTATCAGTTAACAAATAGTCTCAGGGAAAAAGAAATACTAAGTCCTTACAGAAAATTGAGTTGGAGAAAGACTCTCTGCATCCTCTCCTTCAAATGGCCACCACCTACCCATTTCTTGGTTTAATTGTCACCTTTTCAGAGAACCTTTCCCTGATGCTCAGGATAAGTCAGCTCTCTCTATTATAGACTCTTACTGCACCTAGTACCTCTAACGCATAGTATTTTTCACATTTACAATTGAACTCTTGGTGTAATCCTCTGTTTGAAATCTCTCTCTCCAAGAAAATTGTGAGCACCATTAATGCAGGGGAGATGTCCCTCTAATCCAGTGTAAATCCAGCCAGCAGCACTGAGCCCCTAGAAGCTACTTGATACGCATTTCCTGAATGAATCAAAGTCATGTGACATATACATAAGGCTAGTTGTACAGAGAATTTTACAACCTGATCTGAATGGTATTGGTCTCAAAACTAGGTGTCATATTACAGTTCTATGAGATATTCTCAGCATATTTTGCAAAAGAAGATGTAGAAAGGTAAAGAGAGCAACCCCTAAAGGTTAACGCCTACTTCTTTTCCTATCCCAGTTCCACTAGCCCCATGTGTTCCACAACTCCATCAAGTTTGTGTTCATTATCATACCTTATTGATGCAAAACCCCAGTTTCTGACTTCTACGTGGATATCTTGTTTTCCAGGAGACAACTTGGGCAAAAGACATCTAATATCTGTGAAGTTCCAGTGAAGAATCTGGCAGGTTTTTCCTCCAACATACACCGCCATGTTTTGTGTGAGTTCATTTCCAAAATTATAGCCCTTAATTGTTAAATTAACTTCTCCTAGTATTTTAAAATTTTAAAAATAATGCAAAAAGTTCAACTTGCTATCCAGTGTGAAATTTGCATATTAAATAAATCAATTAATCTCTCATCTTTCATTGGATTTAGGAAATCCTAGCACTTAGAGAGGCAAAAGGAAAAACAACGAAAGAGTTGGTAGCAGCCACAAAGGGATGAAATGTACATTCAATTGCTCAAAAGGAAAAAAGATGACAAAGTCCTTTTTTAACAAATATTACCATTTTTCTCCTTATTGCATATGTTCAATATAAAATAATAAATAGATTAATCTATGGTAAAACATACACACACATAAAACTATAACTGGTTTCAATTTAAGAAGCAAAACTGCAGAAGAAACTATGCTTCAAAAGCCTTTCTAGAAATGTTTTTTATACATATGACAATACGTATACATACATACATGCATATATATGACAATACGTATACATACATACGTGCACACACATTTTTATCCATATGACAATAAGATATGACTGATCTTATTGAAGAATTTCTTACCTAGTATTGTTCGTACTTTTGGACTAAAATCAGTTATAATTGGCGTCTGTAAACAATTGTAACTAAAAGCATCCCCTGCTGTGACTTGAAATCCATTGGTAGTAACTGAAATATCAACTATACCCTCAGTTTTCTAAAATAAGAGGAAAAAAATTAGAAAATAGTAATTGTTGAGATACAGAAATACACGGGCTGAAAAGAAATAGATTATTGAAAATAAACTTCTGAAGATGTTTTATTTCAAAGCCTTCATATATTTTCATATATTTAGAAAGTTGTGGTGTCAAATATAGGTTACATGCTTGAGTTCTCAAAATAAAGTTATATGACATAGTAGTTTCATGGGTTTTATGATCCATTCAAATGCATCTATATTATTGGATTTCTGATGGCTCCACAATATTGTTGAGATGTTCTGGAGAATTGATTGTCTGATAAAGCATTAAATACTAAAGTTTGACTTTTTGCTTTTAAAATAGACAGGTATAGTTCTTATTTCTCTTCTCTGACAAATCATATCATTATATCTTTTGAAGACCTTGTTCCAGAGTTCAAGACTAAGCACTTGGACCCCCTAAGAAAACTATTTGATGCTTTTGCAGGTATAGCATCTATGCAATTCCCAATTAGGAAAAACATTTTTTCACATCTAGTATTTATTTAATCCACACTCAGTGTTTAACTGACTGACATATTGTAAACAAAGTAAGTTTTAGTTTATTATATCCCCTCAATTCTCATCTCCATCATTTAGTCCAAAAAACAAATTTCTTTTTCCTGCAGATTGCAAATACAAAATACCCCCATTTGTTCTGCTACATTTTTTTAAAAAGCCAGTGACAGTATTCATTATGTTTTGATATGTAATAAGGAAACCAGAGTCTTAGTTTAAATTTTAAAACTATGCTTTAAAAATAAAGAACAATGATTGATTCTAGGATACAATATTCCACAGAGAACTTCAATTTTTTTATGAAACTAAAAATTTAATACATTTAAACTAAAACTTTAACACATTTAAAAATGTATTCCTGGCTGGGAGCAGTGGCTCACACCTGTAATCCCAGCACTTTGAGAGGCTGAGGAGGGGGTGGAACACGAAGTCAAGAGATTGAGACCATCCTGGCCAATATGGTGAAACCCCATCTCTACTAAAAATATAAAAATTAGCTGGGCGTGGTGG